CAGACCTAAAGCAGGGGTTGTGAATCAATTGCTCGAGGAGCTGTGAATAAATTGCTCGAGGTCCTGGAAAAGCTTAAATAAGGGAAATGGAAAATAAAGGTGCAATGAGAAAAAGGAACAAGTTAAAGGAACAGTAATCAAAAAAGAAGGCGGAGTCCGTGAAACGCCACAGAATCAATCACTGGGTTGTTCCATAGGTCTCTTCTTATTATTTTGGTACTTATTTCTCTTGAATGGAATTGCTCCATTAATTTGGCACAGTCCCGCGCCCACATGAAACATTAGCCCCATATGTGAAGGCAGCGTGTGGAGTAGTTCCGAGAGCTGCGAGGGTGCAGACGAAAGAGAAGCAGAGACGTAAGCATTTAGGAGGAGAGCTGGCATGGATACACACAGTGGTCTACGGACAACTAAAACTCAATCCCTTTAATGGCGCCAACTTCCTGTTTTTCTCTGCGCTCTCACGTCTTCATGGCTTTCTGTGACCGCTGAGAAAACACATTCCAACTTTTTGATACTTCATGATAAGTGGCTCATCCACCCCGGTGTCCTCTCCCTTTGGAGAAAATCATCTCCTGGCTCGCGATATGTTTTTGTACCTCTCGATGCCTTAGCGCCCGCAGTTCTTTGTTTCTCTGCGCTCCGGCCTTTCGCAGCAGGACCCCCACCAAAAGTTTTAGTTGTCACGTAACCCACAAACGTCAGCCGGACTCCTCCTTTTCGTCATCCTATATGGACGATTCCATTCTTCCACAACGAAAACGAAACTGCTTATGACACTTACAGTCAGTTGCGTCAGTTGCCTCCAGGAACGAAAAGCGTGAAGCTTCAAGCGTTGATCAAACCCACTGGAATGCGCCACGCATTCTGTTTTCTTTTGAAAGGTCCTGAGGACCACATGAGCTACTAAATGACTCAAAGGGCCACGATCGGAATCAGGTCAGGGCTTTTATCCTCGCAGGCGGGTATGGCACCGTCTTACTGACCCAAGACTGATGGAGGGCCAACTTCACCCAAACGGGATCACATCCGACGACGCTAAGTGGGGTTGTGGACTGTTATTAAACGAAGTTCCTGCTGTTGCATAGCTTCGCAGGAACTTACAGGACTCCACAAGAGGCTTTGACAAGGATCGACAGGAACAAGTAATATGCCCCTCCCCAAGCAGAACTGTCCTCATCTGGGGTTTCACTATGGGAAGTGAGGCTACGTGCAACTTACATCACCTTTGCTCAAATGAGTAATATCCACCGGAAGTAGTA